TATATCTGAGTTCTACTTCCAGAGCAACACCAGAAATAGAGATGACACCAGCAGTACAGCAAGACAGTCCATTAACAGCACTAAGCAATCGGAAGTGGGAACTGAAAGCCAGAGCTAATGTAAAAGTTGGCATTATTTGCAGATATCTCGAGGAAGTCTTTGAACCTTCCTATCCCTATTAGTGGAATAAAAAACAATCTTTTCTAGTTCCTAAAGAGAAGAGGCCCCAGCTAACATGTGGATTATATTACCAATCAGACATATTCTAGGACCAGTCCTCTGTTCAAGCCGTCCTAAAGTATCACTTATCATGATACCACCCTTGATTCTTTTCCAAGTGGAAATTTCCACCTATAAAGCCACTTTCAGGGGCCAGACAATATTAATGTTGTCTCTAGAAGACCAGTGTCAAATGCCATCTGAAAGGAGAGAGTGGCATATTGGACATAGTACCCAGATGACACTTTCACCTATGTCCCATTGACAAGAACACAGTGCCAAGAGTGCCACTAGCCGCAAAGAACTCTGAGAAGTGTGTTTATCCTGAGCAGCCATGTGCCCAGCTAAATATTCCATTTCTGTGTAAAAAGGCTTGGCAGCTTCTTATAACGTTAAACCTCCCCAGGAATTCCTCTCCTAGGTATTTACTCTAGAAAAATGAAACATGTTTGCGTAAAGACCTGTAGGTAAATGCTTATGGCAGCTCTATTCATAATTGTATAAAGCACAAGAAGATGCCATTTTATAGCAGAGGCAACTCTCCTACCTTATTGTTGAGAGTGTAAATTGGTGCAACCACTTTTGAAGAATATTAGTATATCCAGTAAAGGAGAAGATTTACATACCACATAACCTAGCAAGTCTACTTCTTGGTAAGTCTAGAACAGTGATTCTCAAACTTCACAGGCATCACGATCACCTGGAGGGCTTGTTAAAACACAGATTGCTGAGCCTTACTTATCCCCAGAGATTCAGTAGGTCTGTGGGTGGGACCTGAGAATTTGCATTTCTAGCAAGTTCCCAGGTGACCCTGATGCTCCTGGTCCTGGGACCACACTTTGAAAACCACTAGCCTAGAGAAATTCTTGCCTGTGTTTACCAGGAGACATGTACAAAAGCATTCCTGATATTATAGCTTGCAATAGCAAGAACATGGAAACAACTTAAATAACCATTGACAGGAAAGTAAATAAAGAAATGTATTAAAAGAAGTACTATAAAGCAGTGAAAATTAATGAATTAGAGCTATATGATATCATAGATAAATAAAATTTTGAAAAAGAAAAAAATTAGTTGCAGAAGAATATATACTTATGATACAACTAATATAAAATCTTAAAAGTAAAACTCTAAACAATAAATTGTCTAGGAATATATACACATGCAATGATAAACCAAAATTCAGGCTGTTTGGGAGAAGAAGGGAATATGACTGGGGAAGCATAGAGATTCCAATAGTTCTAGAGTTCAGTGGTAAGTTCATAGATGTGTGTTATATTATTGTTTTATGTGTATAAATCATTTTACAATTATTTTTGCTTTTAAATTGGTTTTATTTTTTGTATATATGAAACGTTTTACTTTTTTCTTCTCAACTTTATTCAATTCTTCAGTTTTTCAATTTCTTTTCAGTTTTATTTTTCCAATTTCATATTATGTTAATTTCCCACAGAATCTCTTGGAAATGTAAAAAGCAAAAATGCAAATATAAGGATGTACTCTATATTTTTAAATAAGAAGAAAAACCTAAGTATGGACATATGGACAATGAAACGTATGAATGCAGCTATGTTAGGATAGTATACTTACACATGTCTGTTTTTACATATACCTGTAAACACCTTTGTATAATTCTGAACAATTGATTAGAAGCTGTTAGGATAAATGAGCAGGGATGAAATGGTCAGGGGGGAAGAAATTAGGATTTCAGGACTGAAAGGTGGGGAGTGTATTAAGAGAAACATAGATTCAATGAATGGGCAAAATGAAGTCCAGGCTGCTGGGAAGAGAACAGCTCTGAGATAGTCGAGGATGGCCTGGTTCTCTGCATTGCTCCAGCATCTCTCTGCAGGGACAAAGACAGCAGATGCTGGGGGTGATGAGGCTGGTCTTTGTGGGTTTCCCGAACATAGTCAGAAGGGGACAGAGAGGTGGTTGTAGAATCCGAAGAAGGACGACTTTGGTGTTCTTGACTATAGAGCCTGAGTGTAAGTTTTAAATTACCTAGAAATTGGGAAGTTGGCTGGAGACAGGAAAGAACTGTCAGCAGTTGAATGATTAAAGTCCATTCTGAGCACAGAGGACATTTGTATTTAGAGGGGAAAACACCAGAAAGGGATTCCATAAGTGGAGCAGGGCTTCATTATTTAAAGGTTCAGTGGGTCTAAGGCTGGTGAGGGACAAAATAAGAGTACCTGAGACGAAATGGTGGGGGCCTTGGGTCAAGGAGTCTGAAGACCTAGAGGGACAGGTGGTAAGTTTGACAGAAAAGAGAGGATGAAGTTGAGCCATTGTATAGGCCAGTAGCTCTGGCGCTTGGGTAGAGTTTTTGACCACTTGCTGATGAGCAAGGAACTGAAGGTAAATGATCTCTGTGCTCCAGAGAGGAGCAAGCATCTAAAAACTAAGCCCCAGGAAGGCTGCCAGGGGTTGCAGCCTTTGTGTTCAAATCTCATGGGATCGTGGGCAAGGTACTCAACCTCTCCTAGCCTCCTTTCCCATTTTCAGACAGGGGAAATGACACCTTCTCAGAAGTAGTAAGTATTAAATGAGACCATGTATCAGTGTATCTACTGGGGTGTCTGGCACACACAGTAGATGCCTAATAGATGTTGAGCCTCCTTTTCAACTCAGATCAAATCCCCTTAGCGCCCCAGCGTAGGGGATGGTCAGCATCACAGCAGGTAATTGGATAAGGAGCCAGTGATCCTTGGGCTCACTGTTGGAGCCATGAAATGGGCAGAGATAAACAATGAAACAGGAATGCTCATAACGCTAGCCAAAAAGAACACATAAACAAAAAGCATGGTTTATGTTAGTGTCACAGCACAACTCAGAGATGACCCCAAGGAAGAATTTTCTGAAGTACCTTTTGAAGAATTTTACTTTTGGTCAGGGATGTCAGATAACAGAAGGTGCAAAAACCCTCTTTGAAATTTGATGAGATTTTCAACCCACTGGGCAAAGTATGGGCTTTTTCAAAGAAAAGTAGTTGGACAAGATGATGGACCATTTAATATTCTTAGATTTTAGTCCATTTCGTTTTTGATTTTAGTCTTTCCCATTTCTCTTCTAGTCCCAGAACAAAGGTTTATAAGCAGCTTGCTCATGGAGCAACCTCGGGTGCCTCTTGAGAGAAGGAAATAGGGAGGGTCTGAAGTCAGGGCTCAAGGCAAAAAACAAAAAACAAATCACATACAATCAAGATTATCCTTGAAAAAAAATTTACATTATACTTAAGCTCAAAGGTTGACATTTAGCCAAAATAATCAAAAGCAGTCTTGAGAAGATAGTATTTGTATGCCCATATTCATACCAGCATTATTCACAATAGCCAAAAGGGGCAAGCAAATCAAGTGTCCGTTGACAAATGAATGGATAAAAAAGATGCAGTATATACATACAATGGACTATTATTCAGCCTTAGAAAGGAGGGAATTTCCAACACAGGCTACAACATGGATGAATCTTCAGAACATTATGCTAGATGAAATAAGCCAGACACACACACACACAAATAAGCTAGACACAATAAGCCAGACACAAAAGATACACTCATGTGAGATATCGAGGGCAGTCAGACTCAGAGAGACAGAAAGAAGAATGTTGGTAAGCAGGGCTGTGGGAGGGAAGGTATGGGGAGTCATTGTTTAAGGGGTATAGATTTTCAGTTTCGCAAGATGAAGTTTTCTGGAGGTTGGTTATACAACAGTATCAATGTTCTTAACATCACATAAAAATGGTTAAAATGGTAAGTTTTATGTATATTTTACCACAATTTAAAAAAATGTCAACAGTTAGCTGCATTTGTGCATTTAACTTACAGAAATTCAACCACAGGCATTATTTCCCCTATTTAGACCTGATCTTCCTTGCCTCCCTCCCCATTCAAACCAGACTTTTGTCCCTAAAGTCCCCAAGGAAGAGCTTCCCTGCCCCACTCCTCTCTCTTTTTTTCCTTTGGGCCAAGCACTTATATTTGAGTTTGTGTGCAAGATGGTGCTCCACTAAATCTCTCTTTCTTTTCTTACTAACCACATTTCACAGTTGAGGAATTGAAGGTACTGGCAAGAAGCAGGAAGGAAGGTTTGGCTTCTGGACCACACACGGCACTTAGATGTCACAGAAAATACTTTATGCATGAACAAATGAAGTAAATCATGAGAGCTCCCACATTTATATTTTTGAGCAAAAAACTCACACAAAAAACCATATATGCACTAACTCGGAATATATGATGTTTGGGGCAGAGTTGAATAAAGTTGCATTTGCATTGCCCACAGAGAGGTTTCCAAGCAATGTAGAAGTAATGGTTTCCACAAGAAGACAGAGAGCACCAATCAATCTTTGAGAACTTTAACTACTATTCTTCTAAATTCTGGTTCACAAACAACTATAGCCCAACATCTTGATCTAGAAATAGATCCTTCATACCCCTAAATGATACTTGCAGGCAACAAATTGTGAGCTCCACTTAAGTTACATGCAGTTGAAAGAAAAACAGCTCAATACACTGTGCCTGTTTGTATCTTCTCAAAGCACCCAACTGCACTTTGCCCGCGGGAAGTAGTCAATAAATGGTTATTGAATTTAGAATGTCCTTCTTCTCAATCAGTAAGGTTTAATATATTTCCAATTCAGAATGCCTATTAATTTTTCAGCATTAGTAGGCCTTTTAAAAAATCCATTTGGGATATGTTTAAGAGTTCACAGCAAATGCTATTATATAAATGATTAAGAAAATACTGTTAAATGAAGCATGCTTATTCAACACACCAGTAGCCATTGATAAAATGTAATTTAATTTAATCATTTAAATTTACACTGTTAATGTACAAGAGCATTTCTTTCAAACACAGGTTAACACACACGAAAGAGCAATGCTGTTAGAGGAGCAGAGAAACTTTGGAAAACTCTGCTGTCTGAAATAAAAGCAAGGCACTCTCCATAAACAGCTGGTGGATTCCTGATTTCCGCCCACAGAAGGCATGTTCGCACTGAGAGAGCTCTCCCACAACGGAAGAATCACCTGCTTTAATTCTTGCTGTCCTCTTCTGAGCTAGATTGGTCATCCACTCTGTATAAACTTGTGTGTCAACAATAAGACAAAAAAGAGAGTTGAACTGATAGATGACTTGGGGGGGCTCTCACCGTTGTAATAACTATGGAAGACAGAACACTGGCTATAATCTTTACTTTCGGCACTAGTGTCTGGACCTATAACTAAAAACCTTCTTCATTTCTTCCAACAAATCAATATCAGCTAAAAAGTCTTTTTCCTTAAATCTGATGAGTGTAAAAATAAAAAGTGACAGCATTCCTCTAGGGCTCTGTATTTTTGTTTTGTTTTGTTTTGTTTTTCCTTTACAGACATGACAAAAAACAAAACAAAACAAAACAAAACAAAAAGGATTAATGTTCCAAGACTAACTGCACAAAAGGGTTATGTATGCACAGTATTTCTAATTTATTCAAATTCAATTTGAATTTGGTCTGAAGCTAGTTTGTATGAAATGTTAGCTTTCCTGGTATTTAATAATGTTTATTATATTTGCATATAAGCTCAAAAATTACTGGAAAAGTACTACTTTATTCTTGGTAAAATGTGAATATTAGTGGTTATTTTTAAAAGCCTGTTTTCCCAAAGATGCAGTAAGAGTAAAGAGACTATGGAAAGGAGAATTAGGTCCTAGTCTTGATTCTGTTACCAGCTATTTGACCTTGGGTAACTCTTTATCCCTTGCTGGGCCCCAGTTTTCTCCTCTATGAATTTCAGGGGAGATGCACTAGTTGACAAGTCAGGCCACTTGTAAGTCTAACATTCCAAGATCCCAACATTCCAGATCCTATCATCTTGATATAAAAATAATAATCTTTCATAAAAGCTCACAGAAACATAATACATGATCAAATAAGAACGACTCTTGGAAAAAAACATACGATTTTCTATCTGGGTTATCCTTTGCAGCAATTAGGCAATTCATTTGGCATTTGTTTGATTGTATAATTTAATGACAATATAAACAGCATAGTTTTGTTATTAGTCCTTTAAAAAGACTGAAGCAAAAATGATTTAAAGCTAACAAAAACTACTATAACATCAGTCTGACATTCAAAGTTTGTTTCTTAGCAAAATGGCCAGAGATATTTTGACTTGATACAGAGTATATAATATAAAGACTTTTAGACCTAAAAATCTTCAAACATTATTTGAATTTAGCAAAACATAAGCAAAGATTTAATATCAAAGTGCTAAACAGTACTGCCTTAAAAGTCACTGCAAATGAACCATAAAATAACAGCATGGGAATTAACACTTATGGTACAAATGGTTAATAAAAAGACACATTATAAATATATATATGTAACCTGCTATATTTATATATATATTTGCTTATTTAATTTCTAATTGGTGTATCCAAGTTCACTGTGAACACCCCATTTAAGTACTCTGTAACTCAGCTTCTAGGAGCTGGTGGTCTTGCAATAAATACAGGCAAAGCTATTACAATATAACGTGCATACAAATGTTTATACAAATAAGGACACTATGCAACAAATCATCTCATAATAATATGGCATCAACAGTATAAACATACAAAAGGGAGTACGAACACGGAATGTTGAAACGCAGCCCACTAATCCTTTCTAGTATTCACATTCATACTATTTTTTTAAATAAGACTTGCTTGCTCTCCAAAATTGTCTCTTTAACAGATAAAAAATTTAATGATATATATTCAAAAAACCTTATTATCCCTGGTGCTTACCCTGTGTGATCCATTCCTAATTATTTGCATGTTAACTTACTGAATGCTCCTGGGGCTTCTGAATGAATGTGTCAGTCAGTTGCTATAACTGAAGAAAGTTTAGGGAATTCTGGCTGGATTTATAGAAAACAACAAAAAAATGCTATACGCAATCCATCTCATAATCTGAGCCCCCTTCAGTACAGTTGGACAGTCAGGGCAGGGATCTGGATCCATCAAGAATGGCCCAAAATCTTGGATGGACCATACCTCAGAAGGGTTCCACAGGGCAGGTGGACAAAGCCTCTGCTAGGAAAATTAGCATGTGCATTTGTTAACATGACTGCCTCCTTTTTATTTACACATAAAATAAAGGAGAGTTAATAAACAAGACTTAGTAAGACAGCACTTTAAAAATTGCACTTGCATATGGAAGCGAACAGCCATTATCATTTTGCTATGTCTGATTTATAGGTAATCCTCCATCTTTCACTGTTTGTTAAAACAAAATAAAGGAAGAAAGAAAACAAGAGGGAATTTCTGCTTTGTTTGCACCACATACATACCCTTGATACAAAAAATGTATTCTAAAGGGATCAATCTCAAGACACATCCTACCCTGGCGAACAGCCCTTGGCTGTTCTTGTTTTTAAATACAAACCAACTATAATTGTATTCCCCAGAAAGAGTTTTAAAAACAGTTATATTACCCTTTTTATTCCTGCTGGGAAAGCATCGTCCAAAAGTGCTCTGTTAGCAATTTCTTAGAAAACCCTCATGAACTATATACCCCGCCTCCCGCCCTAACCCCAAAGCCTAAATATAAAACACAACCCCAACACAATACTCTGCAAGTTTTCTGGCTTTCAGTTGTAAAGAAAAGTGCCAGAAAAAAAAAAAAAGTCTTTCTTTTCTACAGGAGCTGCTTTTTCTCTTATGGAAGGGCAGAAAATGGTAGGTGTCCAGACCCATCCCTCTGGCTGCTTAGCAAGCGGCTGCTAGCTGATAACCAGGCAGCTTCCTGCTCAGGCTGTTCCTGCTCAGAAAGGCAGGGTGTCCAGGAAGAGCTTGTCAATGATGGAGGGTGGAGACACCAAGTCTTCCAGCTTCAGGTAGAAGATGCGCTGGAGGCCCAGGGTGCAGATCTTGCGCAGTTCTACCAGGGCGTGCAGGACCTTGGGCTCGGCGGGCTCCAAAGCCTGTCCCTTGCTCTGGTGTTCTTTTAAGCTGCTCGTGATCTTGTTGCATAGCTCCTCCACTCTCTTTGGTTCTTTTAACCCATGTCGTTCTGCAGAGGGGTAGAAAATGGCAAACTGAGGAGGCAGTTACATCCTAAAAAACTTTGAATCCTGAATGAAGGCCTGTGTCCTGTTCTGCCAGTTGGGATGGCATTTTACAGTTAAAGTGCCCTCCCTCTCAGAGGTAGTTCATGGTCTTGGGTATTTAAATAGCACCAGGGGTTGACTCTCAGCCCTGTCACTTACTCACTGAGCCCCAGTTTCCTTATAAAATGAAGACAATAATTGTACCCAATCCAGGGCTTCTGGGAGGACCAGCTTGGGTGAATAACGCAGACGACACACATTGAATGGCGGGGTGGTTATTATTTTGCACGCATCATCTGACTGAGGTCTGACGAAAGCCTGGTCAGGAAGGAACTCTTTTTCAGAGTGACATGGAAACACATTCAGGCAAATGAATTAATGGTCCATCTTGACAGACACTCGCTTGGTGGTGGTGGGGGCTGTAAGTTCCATTTGCAAAGGCTGCCCCCCAAGACCGCATATGGATACAAAGTGCCTTCTTGGGTTTTCATGCTAATCAGCATTGAGAAGAATAGAGATTTTCTTTTCCTTGTCCCTTCCCTCCGCCCCTTGAAACACCCATTGACCCACACCAGACACTCTGTACAAAATACATGTCCCCCTGCTGTGGAGATGGAAAAGTTAAAGAGAGGGAGGAGGCCCAGAAGGAGGCGGTGCAAGCGTTTTGTAATGTGGCAAAGCATGAATACCGGTATCTCATATTTTATAAAATAATATATAAAATTATCCTCATATTAAATATTATGATCCCTTATTTTACATATAAGGTTAAAAAATATCCCCATAGTCACACAGCTGCTAAAAGCTGGGATTTGAACCCAGTCTTCTGAGGCAGATTCTGTCCTCCAGACTGCAGTTGCATCTCCTTGTAAAGAGAAAGGAGCCTGATGCCCAGTACAGACCAGTTTGCTCTCCCTCAGCATGTAGATATCAGAGACTCTTTCCTGAGAGATGAGCTTGGCCTCTGTTATCTCAGTCAAAGTTTTCATCCCTCAGCGTATTTACATGTAAAGTAATAATTCTTGAGAAATAGATGACATCTATCCAGTGGGAAATTAAGTATTAGTTTTCAATTTTTAATTTTTTTTTAATTGGGAATATTTTTGTTAGAAAGGTTAATTCCAAAAGTCATTGGGAAAAAAATGAAGCAACTATCCAGACTTTGTTTTTTCTCTTGCCCTAAATAAAAGGAGGCCCAGGAACAAGGCAATCTGCATCTTCCCCGGCTTGGCTGGTTGTGTACGACTTGGGTGAGTGCCTTCTTCCCTAGGGCACATATGGAAAGGATTTGATGACCTCTAAGGTCACCTCCAGCTCTGATGTATATTTATATATGTTTATAATTATATTAAAGTACAACCATGAAAATTGCCAGCAGCATCTCAGTGGGTTGTAACTTGCAAGCATCTCATCTCAGTGCAACACAATATAGAGAAAAAGTGACTGGACTTGTGGAGTCAGAGAGATTCAGGTTCCAGTTTTGGTTCTGTTATATACTAACCATGTGACCTAATTGTTCTGTTTCAATGTCCTCCCAGGAAAATGGGGACTACAGGGTGGCAGATACACAAAGTCTTTGTTGTAGTCTTCTCCATTCATTTCTGTGTTTCTTACATATTATACAATAAATTAAAAGAAAAAGTGTGATTATAATAAAACCTACCTTTGAGGGTTATTGTGAGGCTCAGCTAAGATGATGCTACAGGGAAGTGCACTGCACTGTACATCATGGTACAGTCAGCACCTAAGACCATACCTATGCATGGCAAATGGCTGGCAACTGCAGAGTGAAAGTCCATAAAGTCCACTTACTCCCAAGCTTTGCAGTGCAGGATTCTGCTTTTCCCCAGGAAACTATTAGCTATTCAGCCCAGGTGCAAACCTGTACTCTATGGCTTATCTTTATTAAGTACATAGTTCCCTTGTTTCAGTTTCAGAAGTACCCAAGAGTGAACTTCAACAGCAACAGTGCTCTGCCTAAAGTTTTATTTTCCTCTCAAAAGCAAAAAAGCAGACTGCAAATTTGGCAGTAAATTTCAATAGCTACAAAATGTTCATAGCCTCTGATCAAGTAATCCCACCCTTGGGAATTTATCTGAAGGAAACATTCAAAAGAAGAATAACCCTGTATGCATGAAGACATTTGGGGTACATTAAAGTTTTAAAAAATGGGAAAAGATAAAGGGAAGAAGAATAGGAGAACTGTTAAGTGAAAAATGGTATGTCCTCATAATGGAAGACTCTGTAGACATCAAAAAGGACAAATAGGCTATGAAATGACATGGAAAAAATATATAATACCACATTAAATAAAGAATAGACTATAAACATGGTATCTAAGCTGTGATTATATCTATGCAAAAATTATTTCTGCATGTGGAGAAAGATGAGAGGAAATAGGAAAGTGAAAATATTCATGAGATTGTGAGATAACTCCTTTCCTTTCTTTTAAAATATCCAGGTTAATGCTATTGGTGTAATAAACAAGTTTAAAATAGAACAAACTGGGATTTAGTCCTTTGTGAAGCCCTCTGGTTGCTGTAACGCGGTCAGTCATCCTACTGATAGTAAATTCTATTAAATACTGAAATATATCAAATTAGCTTCATAACCCAGGCAGAGATGCTCTTCCCAGAATAAAACACCAATCCATTGATTTAAGCTTTCCCTTCCTTTCAGCGCCTCACGTCTTGCATTATAGTCAAGATCCCATATTCATTATCAGGATAAAGAAACTGAGCAATGTGTGGGCTGGATTTCAGGAGGGGGTTGATTATGGAACCTTGTAACCAGACTTTCTCATGGCCAAACTCGCAGAAGGTGCCTTGGAGTTTTCCCTGCTCTCCAACCAGTTGTGACTGCTCGATAACTATGGCAACCATTATTTATTCAGTGAATTCAAGTGGAGATCGATACCTCCTGCCAGCTGGATCAACCCTAGGCCTGGAATTCCTTGAGGAATTCAGAGACACTCCTGTTAGAAGCCAAAGGCACCTTCTTTGTTGTTTTGAACAGCTCCTGGATTTGTGGCTTCTTTACTCTTTCAAACAGGCTGAGATAAAATTCAGTCTCCATGCAAACTACTGCCAGCAGCCAGCAAGATCTTTAAATCACCAGGGAGTCACTAAGTGTCTGGGACCTTCCTAGTAATTTGAAATTCCTTAAAACCCCAATCACTGACATTTTAGGTCAAGGGACCCCCTTTCTTCTTGTAGCTTGGTAAACAAAGCTGCAAAGCTGATAAATAGAGAGTTCAGAAATTCTGGGGGAAATCGGACATTTGGATTCCCCCACTTCCTACAGAATTATACACAGATTCAGTTTAAGATCTTTGTCCACCATGAAACAAAACAAGCTTCTCAGTATTTCTTGCATTTTGATCTACATCATTTTTATCCAATACTTCAGTATTTTAACTCGGCTTTATGCATCCAAAACTTTAAAATACAACTTATAGAAATGGTTACATAATGGACTTATGTGTCATAACCATAGAATATATGAACTGGAAAGAATTTGAATCATTTAGTTCAAACTTTCTCCCCAAGATGAGAATCTCTACTACAAGGTATCAGAAAAAGAGTGCCCAGCACCAGCTGGTCTGGGAGTTCACTATTTCACCCTGGTTAAAAAAATATTTAATAGTACCTTATATTACACTGTTTTACTTAGATTATTTTGTTGAGCCCTCATACTAACCCCGTGAATTAGACAGGACAAAGATGATCTTATTTAATGAATAAGGAGGCTAAGTTACAGAGAGCTAAGTGATTTGCCTATGGTCAAAACTAGCAAATGGCTAATTTCTTTCACTCCAAATCCAGACATATTTCTATTATATTTGGTTGCCTTGAACATTGCTAGAATGTTCCTCTTCATCCTGAGATGAACTCAGCCTCCCTATAACCCCCTCCTACTTTCTGTGTACCTAATTAGCTAATTGATTAATTACTTCTTTCAACAAATATTTGAGTACCTATTCTGTGCCAAGCAGTGTTATAGCCACGGGGTTGGAGAAGTGAACAAAGCAAAGAGACAACAGATAACACTTCTAACCAGCATGGTGCTTGTATCTAAAGACATTGCTGGATTACTGTGCATGCGGCTATCTGTGCCACAGACATCTCTGCTAAGAGAGAGAGGAAGGAAGGTACGGAGGAGGAGGAGAGAGAGGAGGGAGTGAGAGAGGGAGAGGGAAGGAAAGAGAAAGAAGGGGGAGAAAGGGGGAGGGACTGACTGAGTGAAATAATAAAACTCTCTAAATAGCTACAAATAAATCTGTGCTCATGTTTTGCTCTTCACCTGGGCAAGATCTATTCATCCTTCTGATTGCAGATCAACTATTTCTTCAAGGAAGCGTCCCTTTTTACAGCCAGTCTAGATCGTATTCTCCTATGGCACTCTATCTTTCCCCTTTGAAGGATAAAACAGGCTGCGACTACTGCCTGCCTCAGCCCCACGGGGCCATGGACTGGGTTTGCTCACCACCGTCTCCTCAGCACCCAGCCTACTCACTGCATAGAAATCACCCAATAAATACCTGTTAAGTGAATATGTTAATGGAGGATCGAGGACCTGTAAAATATGATTAAATGAATACTAAACAGGTGGGTTGCTCAGAATAAATATATACATTGGCATTACTAAGAAGCTGTCAACAGTAAAGAACTCAACAAACTCGAAAACCTGCCACATTGGAAGTTTTGGAACCCAGATTTCCTGGATGTAAAGCCTCGCTTTATCACTTATTAGCTGGGTGACTTTCGGTCTGTTTCTGCATTTGTAAAACAAGGCTAATACCAGAACTGCCTTATGTCAGGCGAATGTGATAACCACTACACTAATGGAAACCCATGGGAACTGCCTTATAAATTGTGAGAATTGAACGAATTACGACACGTGCAGTATTTGGTACAATGCCTCATATACAGTAAGTCTTTAATAAATATTAGCAAGTAGCCTC